TAAGCACACTGTATACTATTTTATAGTCATGGGGAAGTCAGTCTTTGTATTTTAAAGACAGATTACTTTTGTAATTAAAAAAACCCTTGTGATGATTTCTACGTTCTTTTAAGTGCGATTCATTTGTTCACTTGCTTTTATTGCTTGCTATGCCTTGGGGATTCTAAATTACAATATATGAACATTAGTTATTGTTAATATTAAGACGTAGTCTTTGCCTTGAGGGAACTTCAGTCAAATGGGGAACACAGAGTATAAGCCTGTAATTACTTACAGACCATTAAGTGCATTGAGATGAAGGGACTATAATATGGAATGCTGGAGAATGAGATGAGAGTGCGCCAAACAGTAGAGGGTGGGGAGCCTCTGAACTCTTTTTGGATGGGATGACGAGACTTACACGTTTGGAGCTCCCTGAATGCAGAATTTTGCAGGACTGAAATGATGTGTCATGGTCTTCGGGTTAGCAGCACACCACCCTGTGGACTAGTCCTCTGGAGCTCTGCCAGAGAGAAAGATAATCTCCTCCCAAGCAATTTGCATCCTTAGAAAATCCACTGGAAGGGGGTCAACTGTGAGTTAGTTCACACTCCTTGGCAATGAATTAGATTTTGTTTTTGAAAAGATCTATCACATTAATAACGTTTCATAAATGTGATGAAAGCATGCTTAAGGTAAAAAGCTCTGCTTATTTTAATGCATGTTTAGGAGAAACTTTTGTGAGCTAGAAGAAAAATCACATGCATGAAATAAACACCATAATGACAGGAGGTTGGGTGGTGATTTCAGAGCAAAGGCAACATGGCAAAGGTCGAGTCTGAGCTCTGCTGGCTGCACAAGGGGGAGCTGCCCCCATCAACAGCATCTACAACACGTCAAGCCATGTGTTCCCACATTCCTGCCCCTACCTACTGGGTCTGAAGTCTGTTTCAGTGGCTAAACAGACTTCACAGAGCCATGTTTACTGTTACGGGGTTTATTGTTGTTGTTGTTGCTGTGTGCCATCAAGTCAAAACTGACCCACTGCTGATCCCTCAGTGAGTTTTCAGAAGTGGTGAATTGCATGGGAGGAGATTGCCTATCTTTCTTCCATGGTGCAGCTTCCCAAATTAGTAAAAGTTGAGTTTATAAAAAACCCTCAGTGATTTTCAAGTACCAGAGGGCCTTTTGCTTTTACGAAATGTCTCTCTTTTTAAAAGAAATTTTAATATAGGCTCTGCCTTAAAGAGTATCTAGTCTAGATTGGTGGATATAATTAATTTGAAATAATAGTACTTGTTCATGGGATGATTCTGTTTACCACATTTTAATGCCAATAACACTTTCTGTATTTTTTATCTGTTGTCCAGTTTTGTGTATGAATTTCCTGTGCACCTTGTATGTGTGCATGCTTTATTTATGTGGGCACAAATCTGTGCAAAGACACCATACTTTCTTTAGCATAAAAATCTTGTATTGACACACGTGAGTGTAAGTATAATAGCTCCCTCTCACTCATTTGTTGCTGTAGTGTTGGAACTGACTCATTATTGACCCTCCAGTGGGTTTTCAGTCTCTTCTCAGGAAGACATTACCTACCTTTGTCCTTCAGAGTAGCTGGTGGATTTGAACTATTAAAGAAGTGTGACCTTAGGTTATCAAGGTAGGCCATAAGAGCTCCCTACATATTTGCTACTTTAGGGCAATTAGAAGCATTAACTCAGACAAAATTACGGAGGCTGATAGCAGGAAACATGTTGAAAGAACATTTAAAATCTTTGATTTGAACTGTCTTTTGATGACTAGGCAACATTTTAGTGCTTTTAAGTTCTCAAAGTGAAATAATACCTTTTTACCATTAAAACCTGTCAATTCTGGAGTGACAGGATAGGTTTTAGATATTTGTGTAATAAAAAGATTCTTACATTTATTGATTAGAAGTAATGGGATTTTCTCAAGAGAATTTCATTAGCAGTAATAGTGGAATAAGGCTGATATTTAAAGCCAGCATTCAGCATGCTGTCTGTGTGTGTAAGACAGAGACGGAGAGAAAAGAAGAAGGGAGGGAGAGGAAGAATGAGACTCAAGATAGATATGATTATTGGACTAAATTATTTGAAATAATGTTTAAAATATAAGTAAGGACAAACTCTTCACAACCTAAATGACCACAGTCTAAATTTATTTTTTATCTACCTCTAAGAAACAATAACATTTTAAGATTTAGTAGATGAAGTCTTTAGCCACAGAGTGCTTCTAATTTCTTCACTGCCCTGAACCCAGCTTTTGGTGTTAATGTTTGTTTTGATGTTGACCTTAGACAAACTCTTCCCATTTCTGTAGCTTTGGTTTCCCTCTAGGATGCTAAATCAGGATCATGTTATTCCATACCCTCTGCCTACTTTGTAAGGTTTATTTTAAGGGTTAACATCCTACTGGTCTCAAGATTAAAAGTGCTAATCATTCATGAGAGATTTTAATCATTCTTTTAATGGTATTAAATTAATAGAATGTCTTCCAGTTGTCACTAGTGAAGGAAACTGGTATCTTCATAACACTAAAAATAGAATTTAAGAAATAGAATAAAAATAGCATAGTGATTTCAGCAGGCATTCTCTGCTGGATCTGCCCGAGGCTTCTGCTGCAAAGACAGTGACTGTGAACTTGGTGGCATTGCTGTTTTGTAGCATTACTCTTTTCGATGTGAGAAAAACTTAATGGGTTTTCTGGAAGAAGTTTGTATTCTTTGAAATGGAAAATTTTGTATACCACTTATGTGAGTGGAGTATAAAGCTTAGAGCATAATAACTTTGCTGTTAGACTCATGTTGTTGTATGCTGTCAATTTGACTGTGACTCAATAACCTTGTGTACAACAGTTCTGAACCCTGCGCTAGCCTGAGCCAATTTCATTGTCTCCGACACACCCTATCCCCATTACCTCAGTCACTGAGTTAATCCATCTCATCCAGAGTCTTCCTCTCTTTTGACGTTCCTCCACCTTTCCAAGCATGATGTCCTTCTCCATGGTCATGGCAACATGGCTCAAAGTATGGGAGACAGAGCTTTAAAATCTTGCCTCTTAAGGAGCAGCCTGGTTTCACTCTCTGAAGGACAGACCTGTTTATTCTTTTTACAGTCCTTGGTATGTTCAATACTTTTTATCTAGCACCACAACTTAAAGGCATTGATCCTTATTCTGTCATCCTTAATAATTGTCCAGCTTTTTGATACAACACAAGTAATTGTGAAGACCATGGCTTGGATCAGGTGTACCATAGTTTCTAGATTGACATCTTTGCTCCTCAGTACTCTGTTAGAGGTCCCTGACAGCAAATTTTTCCCAGTGCAGTTTGTCCTGGCTGCTGGTGCCAAGAATGTGGATTGTGGAACCAAATGAGCTGAAGCTATTAACACTCTCTTCCCTGTCCATCCTGATGCTGCTAATTGGCCCAGTGGTGAGAATCTTTGTCTTCTTGATGTTGAACTTCAATCCATATTGAAGATTGTAGTCCTTGACCTTCTGTAGCAAATGTCTCTCGTCCTCTTCACAGGCAAGGTAGTGTCATCTCCATAATGCAGGTTGTTGATGAGTCTTCCTTTAATTCTGATCCCCCATTCCTCCTTATAGAGCCTACCCTCCTGGATGATCTGTTCTGCATATAGATTGGAAAGGTATGGCGATTGGATGCATTCCTAGTATACACCTTTCCTGATCTTGAACCATGCAGTGTTTCCTTGCTCGGTTCTGATGTCTGCCTCCTGGTCCCAGTATAGATTTCACATGAGTACAATCAAATGTTCTTGTAAGACTAATGTTACTTAAAGCTTAAAAACCACAGAAGCCATGAGATGTCATCTCACCCCAGTCAGAATAGCAAAATTTAACAGAGCAGCAAACAACAAATGCTGGCAAGGTTGTAGAGAAACTGAAACCCTTATTAACTGTTGGTGGGAGCGTAAAATGGTGCAGCCACTGTGGAAGGTGGTATGGTGCTTTCTCAAAAAGTTGCAAATAGAGATACCATTTGACCCAGCAATTCCACTACTGGGAATATACCCCAAAAGACCATAACTGACATCCAAGCAGATATACGCACACCCATGTTTATTGTGACTTTGTTCACAACAGCAAGGAGTTGGAAACAACCTAAGTGCCCATCAACAAGTGAATGAATAGAGAAGCTATGGTATGGTCACACAATGGAATACTATGCTGCATTGAAAAATAAGGAACTCATGCAATATTATTCAGAATGGGTGACTCTGGAGGACATTATGCTGAGGGAAATATATCTGTCACAAAGGACTAACACTGCATAGTGCCACTATTGTATAATGGGACTGACATCAGGGTTGGGGGGAGACTGAGAAAGATGAGATAAATAATGTGTACTGCATTGAAACAGATGAGGGAGAAAACTGTTTAACAGGAATATGCAATTAGGTATTTTTGTCATGATGGGAGTGCAGAGTGAAGGCTGCATAGTGGAGTGGGCCTGGGGGAGGGTTTGTAAAACAATGAAAGAATTTGTCTTTTACTTTTCCAAGAGGTAGTGTACTAGGGAGGAGGGTTGGGAGAGGAGGAAAGTGCAACAGTGAATGAATGGAAATCCAAAGTCTCTGTAAATTTTTACTGAAATTAATAATAAATTAAAGAATGGGGGAAAAAGAAAATAGAAGGATAACTGAAAAACAAAAAACCGCCACAGAAGCTGTATGTATTTAATTGAGGGGGGAAAACAATATTGCAGATCCCTGATATAGGATATTTTGAGATGTTGTTAATATTGAATTGCAACTGACTCATAGCTGAGCCTCCAGTGGATTTTCAGAGGCAGGGTCTTGCAGGGAGGAAATTGCCCCCTTTTCTGTGGTGAAGCAGCTGGCGGGTTCAAACTGTATGCCTTTGGGTTGGCAGCACAACTCCTTACCACTAAGCCAGCAGAGCTTCCTTACGGTCGCATAAAAAAGTTTTAACATTAGTTAAGAATACTTTAAAAAAAATAAAGATTTTAATCATATAGTTGTGTATTTTATTTGTGCCTATAAATGTCTTGATTTTAAAAAAAATGCGTTGTGTATTTTAAATCTTTTGAGAAGACTCAAGATTAACAATAAGAACAATTAGAAGAAAATAGTTGACAACTCGATGGTTGTAATAAAAATTATTTTATAAAGTTCCTAGTAAATGAGACTATGCACTTCATTTCCCCTAAAGCATGTGCTTTCAAAATCTGGTAAATTGTGTAAAAAAATTACTTAAAAATTCATATAAATTAGATGATAAAACAGTTTTGTTTCTGGTCCATATGAATTACTAATGAGTATTGCATATATTTGTTTCTCTGCTAGTGAGAGTGTTAAAGCTGGAGAAAGACTTTGTTAAACATCGTTTTCATGAGCAGGAATTTGATATTGGGCAGAATCAGAAATAGGTGATCATAGAGAATGTTGTAGTTGGCTCCAGACAGATGGGCCCCAGACCAGCTCCCTTCCGCCTGGAGTTCCTCAGCGGGTGCTGACATCGTAGGTGCAGAAAACTGGCATCAGAAAAATCAGTCTGTCTGGTGTAGAGCAGGCACTGTCTCTCAGGTTCATAGAGAGTTTTTGAATTATATAGACTTTCTTTTGTGTGTACATATTTTTGGAGAGAGAGAGAGAGAGAGAAACCAGTGCCCTTAAAAAAAATGCCAAAACCACACCTCACCTCAAAAAATTGTACTTTTCTGAAAAGCACATGATTTAAATGGTGAGAACCACTGGTAGAGAGCACTACAGGATTTCAATTTTTCTCAGAAGAGGGATCTTCAGCAGCCATTAAAGTTTTCCTCATTTGAAATCTGTAAGTTTAAAGTTTATCTCAAAGACTGTTACATTGTTGCTAAATGCCACCAAGCTGACTCCACTCACAGCCACTTGTGTACAACACAGCAAAACTCTGTCCAATCCTGCACTAGTTTCAGTTATTGGAATGTTCGCGGGCCTTGTCAGAGACTACAGAGTACATTTGTTAATGAATGGATTAATACATGGATATGAATTTGTGCAAGGCCCTTAAAATGTCCCGTTCTGAAAACAAATGTAAAATTTTTTATGAGTTACACTTTATCTGGAAACATTTTCATTTGAATTAAAGATCCTACTTCATTAAGGGAGCTCTGGTAGCATTCAGAAGCTGCACTGCATTCCTGAAGGCAAGTGGTTTGAATCCACCTACTGCTCTGCAGGAGAAAGGTGGACAGTTTCCCCTGAGAGTAACGGACTCTGGAAACCTGCTGGAGGGTCAGGTATGGGTCATATACAACTCCATGGTGTTCAACAACAACAACAACAACTTTATTAAGTGCCTATTTCCCGTTATGTGCTTTTTATAAACATTTGATTGTCTCAACACTCATTGCTGTTGCATTGGAATCAGCTCATAACTGATCCTCCATTGAGTTTTTGAGGCTGCAAGTTACGTGAAAGGAGAGCTTTGTTCCATAGAGCTACTGGTGGATTCAGACTACCAGGGACACTCAGCTCCTGGGTTAGCCGCAGTGCCTTATGGACTAGGCCATCAGACCTAGACAGATTGAGTTCTTCTAACACAAAAACCAGTGGGATGCTGATGTGTGTTGGCATAAGGCTTGTCAAAGGATTATTTTCATTTTCTCTGGATTTTTTAATTCATGTGAATTAAATATTTTTAATTAACTATTTGATGATTGTTGATTTTAAATTTAAATATTAAGAACTTTCTGGGTTAAGGGAGTGTATATAGTTCTGTTTATTGTTGTACACTGTATCACTTTCCCCCTTGTTTCCCGTCCTAGGTTCCTGGGGCATCCAGCAGCAAAGGTCCTTTATGCTTACAACCCCAGTACGGAGAGCGAGGTTGTGGTGAATTCCGTGTTTACGTCTGCTAGACATTTTCATGTGCCTCGTGTTCACTGCAGGGTGAGTTTTGATGTACTCTCAGGAACTCTGCTGTGGCCATCTGCCAAGTGTTCTTGCTTTCTTTGGCTGGAAGGTTTGGCTTTCTGCTCCCTCGTCTCCCCTTTTTCTGCTACCCAAACTCTTTCCTTCTACATGTTTGCTTTAGCATTTATTTTTACAGTTGTTCACTTGCTGGTTTTGGTAGCTCCTTCTTATGTACAAAGGGAAACATTTTAAAGAGTCCAAACTACATAGTAATGAATGTATATTTAATAGGAATATATTGTCTCGAAGTTATGAGAAATGTTGGCACATTTAGTAGCTAGTACATGTTAATAGTTGTGATCTCCTCACCTTGCAACTTGTTAAGAAAGTTACAGTTTTTTTCTTCCTAAGTGTAGGGCTTTCAGAGTGGTGGATGAACCCTCACAGAGCACGTCTGTGCCATCCCAGAGCTCAGAACCTGGGGTCTTTTTGCTGTAATTCCATTGACCTTAAACTTTTAATGACATTATTAATTACTTGTATACTTTTCTTTATTTTGCTTACTTAATGTTGTCTTGATAGAGACATAAAGTAAACAGAATAAGAAATAAAGTCTGTAGTCACAGTTCTTCTCTGTATGATTTCCTGGGCTGTAATCTTTGTGGAAGAAGATTGCTACATTTTTCTCTTCCATAGAGCAGGTGATGGATTCCAACCACTGGCCTTTCACTTAATAGCCAAGTGCTCTAACCACTGTGCCATCAAGGCACCTATTGAACCTTATTGCCACTCAGAACTGACTCATAGTTAGCTGAATCTTCTCAACCTCTCTCTCTCACACCCACCACCACTACCACCACCACCTGCTGCTGGGGTGAGATGGTATCTTGTTTTCATTTGCATCTCTCTGATTGCTGGTTATATAGTTCACTTCCTTTCCCACTTTTTATACCACCAGCTACCTAGATCTGGTGGCCTGGTGGCAAGAAGCTGCACTGCAGTCCTGAAGGTATGCAGTTTGATGCCACAGCTGCTCCATGTGTGAAGGCTGGGCAGTCTCTACCTATGTGATTAACTGCCTCTGAAAACCTGCTAGAGGGTCAGCTATGGGTCGGTTCTGACTCTATGATACACAACAATAATAAGGAAATAGTGTAAGATGAAGGCTAGTACTGTTTTGTTTATGACTGTCCAGGTAAATATTATTCCTTGCCTTAATAAAGAATTGACATAGTCTGTGCTTTTGCTGTTCTCTGTACTTGACTAGAGTTAGAGCTGGGTTAGAGGAAGCCTGTTAGACTTGTGAGTGAGGGAAGGAAAGAGGTGAGACATGGGTCCACTCTGACATGAAGTGACTTAGCAGCTATTCTGCCATATTTTTACAGCAGGTCCTTTGAAATGTTCTCTTAGAATGTTGAATGATCGTCATTTTGATCGTGTCAGGGGCTCATAATGCTTCTAAATCAAGGATGCAGTCTACAAAAATCCGTTACAAAGCAAGTCTGTGAAATATAATTTATAGGAGGGGTTGGTAGCACTCCTAATAGTGATTTCTTTTTTCTGCCTGTCCAGGTAATTCCTGCAATGGGAAAAACTTCTTTTAGAATCATTTTCTTACCTACTGAAGAAGGAAACATTGAAAGTTCTTTATTTATTAATACCTCTTCACATGGGGTCCTTTCCTATCATGTAAGTAACTTTTTTCCTCTTTTCATATAACTTCAGTTATTGACTTAACAGAAACACTTGGGAAACTTAAAAAAAAGTTTCTTGGAGATGCCAACACCGGCTTTTTATATAAGTGTAATAGCAGTGATGTTAAATTCACCCTCATCCTGTGTTCTAAGATCTTCAGTATAGAGAGCAGAGAGGTAATTCTTACCACAGATCTCTGGGAAGTGTTGGAACAAAATGCTGTCACGCTCACTTTTCTAGTGTGAAGTACCAGCAGGCTTCATCCATTTGTGCTTTAGAGAGGGAGCTGTAAGGGTCTATCTCCCCTCCTTAGCTCAGGCATGTTTCTGGTTGGGATATGTTGATTGTGTGCTTGGAAACACTTCCTGTGGAGCTCACTCAGTGTCACTGCACTAGGAAAGGAACACGAAGAATCTTCTGTTCACAAAAATGGTTAGGCATCTCGATTTAAATTTTTACCTTAAGTGTTTACCTCAATCTTTAATTCTTTAAAAAAATTTTTACCGCAAGTGTTTACCTTCGTTTCTTTCCCTTAAATTTTTATCTTAACGCACCTGTGGCATTTTAAGCAGGGCATGGTGCCAAGAAGTTAATGTGCCAAGATCAGTCCTTTCTGTGGCTCATTCTTAATTTGGTCCCATTCGACTAGTGATTGCATATCAAAAGTTATCTCTTGGTCAAAATATTTGCTACAGTGAGGAACACTCAACTGAAAGAAAGCAATTTACGTTATGATTGATATCTGGAGACAGAAAATTTTAATGATTGGAGTGACAGAATTTTGAAGGCCAAGTGTGTTTTAAGGTTCTGACCAGTGAGTGAGTCATTCAGTCTTTTCTCGACTCTCATAGGTGTCTGGAATTGGCACACGCAGACTTTCTGCTGAAGAGTCCGCAAAGCCACTACCCAATGCTTACTTCCTGCTCCCACAGGTTCAGAGCATTCAGCTTTCACAAACACAGGTAATTTTAATAGTTTTACTTTTAATGCCAGAAAGCACCAAACTTTGTGGCTTCCTATGTTTGCAGAATACAGAATTGAGGCTTTATTATTTTCTGCTTTTTTTCCTACATTGTATTTTAAACAATCATTCATAAACATTGTATTTATATAATTACTATTGATCCATACCTGTCATTAGTCCATCTTTTCAAGTCCCCATTGAATCTTTCCTATTTCTTCCCTGCTTCATCTGCCTCTAACCTCTACTATCTTGGTGATTTCCTTCTTCCATTCTTTTTCCCTCTTCCTTTCTTTCCCCTTCCCTTTTGGATAATTTATATCTATATCTCTATATATCTCTATCTCTATCTCTATATCTATATCTATCTTGCTCAAGTATTTTATGGAAATTTTTACAGTAATGGTATAATATGCAGTATTTGTCCTTAGGAGACTAAATCCTCTCAGCATAATGTTCTCTAATCTTGCTATATTATATAGTATTTTATGAAATTGTTGTTCCTTAGTGCTGCATAGTATTTTGTTTTGTGAGTGTGTTATAATTTCTCATTCCATGTTTGTTGATGAGCATTTGGGCTGTTTCTTTTTTCTTGCTATTGTGAATGATGCTGCTTTGAACGTAGGTGAACAAATCTCCATTCGTGTCTCAGTACCGATTTCCTTGGGGTATATTCATAGCAGTGAAATAGCTAGGTCATAATTGAATTTCTGTGTTCTGCTTTTTTGCGGAAACACCAAACTGCCTTCCAGAGTGATTGTACCATTTTTTTAAATTTTTTTATCTTTTTTCATTGTACCATTTTACAATCTTACTACTACTGTATGAGTTCCTATCTCTTCGCATTCTAGCCAACATATATTGCTTGCTGTTCTTTTAAATTTGCTGCTGCTATGGGGGTGAAATGGTATCTTCTTGTTCCTTTTGCATCTCTCTGATTGCCAGTGATTTTGAACATTTCTTCATGTGTCTGTTGGCCATCTGAATGTCTTCTTTTGTGAAGAGTCTTTTGCTCATTTTAGAACTGTTAAGTTTATTACCAAATATTTTCTCTTATGGTTGGTTATTGCTTTCCGTTTTCTTTTCCATACTTTTCTTTGCTGATGTAGAGGAATCCCATTGATTTTTGTATATTGATCTTGTATCCTGCTACTATACTAAGTTGGTGTACTATGTCTACCAGTTTTTTGTTGAATCCTTGATGTTTTCTGTGTGCATTATCTTACTGTTTCATATAGTGACCACCTCTTTGCTCATCTGGATGCCTTTTACTTCCTTTTCTTATCTTGTTGCACAAGGAAGTACTTCCAAAACAATATTGAATAGGAGTGCTGATTGTGACCATCCCTGCCTAGTTCCTGTTTACAAGGGGATGTCTTTAGTATTTCTCCATTGAAAATGATGTTGGCTTTTGGTTTTGCATATATGTTTTTGTTTTTTATTAGTACACGTGTGTTTGTGTGTGTGTGTGTGTGTGTGTAAAGTATTGCATTTGTTGTGTGCCATCGAGTCAGATCTAACCTAAAGCTGACACTGGGTTCTCAGAGGCAGTAAGTCATATGGGTGCTTTTCAGGAAGACAGAACCAGCATGGTCACCACAGTGCCAATAGGAAGTTTTGAATCTTGTCCCAACCCTGCCTTGCATTCTTAAATGTGTATGTCTTGAAAGAAAAAGAGTATTTTATAGGTATATTTCTTTAGAGATGTATTTTATTAATAGCTGCTGCTGTTAGATGTCTCTTTGACAGTAGCTTTGCCCAGTGCATCATGTCTTTAACTTTTTTTTCTTTAACTTTTAAAATTGGCCATTTTCTTCTCTTTAACTGTCCTTATTGCCTTGTATGATAAAAAAACCTTTATTTTTAATTATAGTAAATTCTCACCACAGGGCCAGTTGGCAGCACCATAATAGAGCAGAGATTGAGGTTGTTAACAATCACAGCTTGTTTGGTTCGACAATCAACACTCTTCATACCAGCAGTCAGAAAATCTAAAGAAAAATTACATTGGGAAAATCTGCTGTCAAGGACCTCTCCAGAGTGCTGAAAAGCAACGATGTCAGTCTAGAGACTAAGGTGTGCCTGATCCAGGTCATGGTCTTGGCAGTTACTTGCTATGCATCAGAGAGTTGGATAGTGACTAAGGATGACAGAAGAATCAGTGCCTTTGAGTTCTGGTGCTGGATGAGAGTCTTGAACAAACCATGGACAGCCAAGGAAACAAATAGGCCTCTCTGGAGAGGGTGGAACCAAGTTTTTTCCGTGCAGGCTAGGATTTTGAAGCTCTGTCTCACATACTTTGGGCCTGTGGCCAGGTGGGACCAGTCCTTGGAGAAGGACATTATGCTCAGAAGGGTGGAGGAATTGCACAGGAGAGGGAGACCCTAGATGAGATGGATTGATGCAGTCACTTGGGCAGTGGGGGTTGGCGTTTCGGAATTAGTGAGACTGGCTCAGGATAGGGAAGCATTCAGAGCTGCTGTACATAGGATTTCTGTGAGTCACAGGTGACTTGGCACATAACAACACCAAATTATAAAAATAAGTATAACAAAACATTTAACTGTTTAAATAATCTTCGTATTCAGTGGCTTTACATTTACTCTTCATGTTGCTCAACAGTTACTCTTACTTGTGTCCAAAGGTTTCTACCCCCTTTGACAAAAATGTTCCCTAAGCTATGAGTTGCCTTTCTATTCTGCCTTCCCTGGTGATCACAAATAAGCTTTGGTTTCTATACACTATTCTAGATTATTTCATGTACATGGGGGTCATATGAGTAACTCTGGTGGTGTAATGTGTAGATTGTTACACTGCTAACCCAAGGATGCCAGAGTTTGACATCGATGAGTGCCTCCAAGAGAGAAAGATGACTGCTTTCTTTCTTCCTGTTCAGATTTACAACCTCAGCATCCCAAGGACAGGTTGCTGTGAGCAGAATAGATTTAGTGGCAGTGAGTTGAATTGCGATCATCTAGTGTTTGTCCTTTCGTGACTGACTTCACTCATGTTGGTGCCTTCTAAGTTCATGCATGTTATAACATGTGTGAGAACTTTATTTCTCTTTGTGACTGAGTTATTTTATCTTGTACTACATTTATCTAGTTATCATTAGATAAATAAAATGTAGTACAAGGTCGACACGTTCAGCATTTCTTAAGCTCA